TGGGGTGTCCGGGCCAGTTTACGCGCACCACGACTAATCCCCACGGTCCACTGAACATCCTGCAAGCTCAGTGAGCAGGTAAGGCACCGCGGGGGTGACAGGCGTGCATGGTGAGGTTCGAACCCAGGTGCAGAGGAAGAGGACAAGCCCCTCCCACCGCTAGGCCAGAACCTCATCTTTTTCTCTTGTTTTAATGGGGAAAAAACATTGAATAGTGAAATTATATTATTTTTTTAATTTGGTACCTAAACTTTAGAACTTTGTAGTGGAACCCCTAATTAGCTCTAACTTTTGAATTCTTTGCAATTTCACCCTTGACCTTATTTGTTTGGACCTTTAAAATATTCTATTTTTACAAAGTGGTTCTTGATTTTGAAACTCTTCAATTTGACCCTCACTTTCAAATTTTTAATTTCTTATAATTTTATCCCCGATCTCATTCAATTGAGCTCGGAAAAATTAAATTATCTAAAGTGAATTTTTGTATTTCCAATACAAGAGTCGTTCTTGTTCACAATACCACCTTTAATCTTTAGGGTTTTCTCCGTGGGGTTGCTCTTCCCTGCATAGAGCATTTCTAACTATATTCTGGCATCTTTCGCAATTGCTTTTGCAGTCGCAGTGAATTTACGGATCCACTCGATATCCTCCCCACCATACAAGCATATGAACTTCCCTTGCTCTATCTGCATTAGGAATTAATTAGTTGAAAAATTCATGAGTAATGTGTGTATGAGATTTCTATGCATCTTTCAGCTTGTTGTTTAGTTTATAAACCCGTTTCAAGTTTGGAAATTTGAATTCCTCTGTTGTCAACTGTATGCATTAGATGATGTCGATAGAGAATTGATGAAGAGTGTATTTTAGTTTCATAATATATGTATAGAAAGAGAGAGAAGCTATAACCAAGACAAGGATCATTGGATCAATGCTATCTGCCCGTAACTCAATTTTCCAGGTTTCTTCTTTCCAGAGTCCTTCCTCCCCTGAGCTAGTGGAAGGGAAAGCCAGGTTTCACCAAATCCACATCATGGTCTTTTTTATTTTAAGCTTAAAAAATAGATCATTGATAATAAAAGTTGAATTTTTTTTTATTTTAAGTTAAGAAAGAAAATCACCAATTACAAATGGTTGGATTGAGCGACGGGCCTAGGGAGCAGGGACCATGAGGGGGTTGGCCGACTGAATTTTCCAAATTAAACCAAAAAACAGAAGTGGGCCAAGACGATACCTGCTTTGCTTTGCTTCGCTTAGCTTAGGCCTTAGGACTTGCCTTGTGTTAACGGTCGGCAAAGGACACCACCATTCACGTTCTTAACTGTCGTTGTCGTTGATAACCTGCCGACGAGAATTTAATTTTACCGGGAAAAATAGCTAGTGCGCGACAATCATCTCTCTTCCACCCAAAACATCTCACCTGAAGTTTCATGGAACTCTTGGAACGGTCAAAAACTCAAATTTTGCCTCTTCCATTCATAAAAATCATTCTATCATGCGTCAACCCTCTTTTTTAACTGTTAAATTGGATAATCAATAAACTAAGCATTTGAAAAGTCTTCTTTCTCTGACACTGCCTCTTTTCAGAATCTTGACATCAGGCACAATTTTGCAATTAAATATACAGAAATATTTCACAATTACCTCTCTGTCTCCCACACCCACATGCCCCGCGTCAAGGAATCTCACTACTATCCTTCCATTCTACCAAACTCCACGCTCAGCCCTTAAACTTTGTTGACGCAGTGCACACCGCGTCCTTTATTAATACTTTGCAACCCTACACAAACCAAACCGCAGTGAACAGCCATGAGACTAGCCACCATTCTGCATCTCGCCATCATTGCCGTCCTGATCACCGCCGCCACGTCCCAGGCTCCTCCCATTAGATACATCAACCACACCGTTGGCGACAACGCCGGCTGGTTCTTCAATTCCACCACCAACACCACTGTAACTAACTATTCCTCTTGGGCTGCCTCCCAAACCTTCAATCTCGGCGACTATCTTAGTAAGTTTCAAATGTCTTAAATCTGTATTACGCATGTGTGAACGATTGTCGATGTTTGTTAAATTACTTTTCCATGTCAGTTTTCAGAACGAGCTCCAATCAGACAGTGATCCAGACCTACAATCTGACAACATTCAAAAACTGCTCAATCGACCACTCCTCTGATAACGATACGTTTGTCTATAACGGAGGCAACACGGTGTTCGATCAAGCGTTGACCATACCAGTACCGTTGACTATTCAAGGTCCGAATTATTTCTTCTCTGATGCTAATGATGGCATTCAATGCCAGTTTGGATTGGCCTTTGAGATCAACATCAATCGCGGCCTTGGATTGCCTCCCAGTCTTAATCAGCCGCCTCCTCCTCCCTACAGGGAGCCCCCCGGTCCTGACTCGGCTTCTCCGCCAATTACTATTCCAGCCGGAGGGCTAGGAAATGAGGGGTTTAAAAATGGGTTAAGCGTGCACGTGATTGCGTGTGCGGTTTTTTTTGCTTTGCTGGCAGTCAACGGTGGGATAGGGGTGGTGTTTTCTTAAATTGTTTGTGTTGTTTCGTAATTAGATACGCGAGTCGGCAGACGGGGATATTTTCCGGTGTTTGGATGTTAGTGTATGGAAGAGCTTTTCATGGATAAATTTATTCTTCAATGGAGGACAGATTATTTCGTAATTAGATACGGTGTTTGGATGTACTGTAATTAGATACACGACAGTTCACCGTGTATTGTGAATTTTCTTTTTACCTTCTCCACGTAAAACAAAAGAAGCCTAACTGTTGGGGATAGATTTTTCTTTTTTCAAAGGATCCATTTGGTATTATAAGATTGGTCGGGAATAAATTGGTTAGCACATTTCTTTGCATAATTAAATTACTTTACTTTTTTTTTTTTTCAGGTGTGGCCCTTGTTTGGCGGAGTTATAGTTTGCTTTACAAATGCCCTTTTTTTTCCTTCCTTTCTCTTTTCATCTTTTCTTTTTTATTCTAGAAATTAATGTCAACCCATCTAAAAAAATAATTATATCCTTTATATTATATTTTTATTAATTTTAATAATTATTTTTTATTACAATTTGTTTTATTTATTATATTTTTTTCATTTTATATTTTTTTAATTTTGCATCTGAGAATTTAATTTAATTTAATTTTTTATCTAATTTGATCCTTATTATTTTAATTATTTTTTTATATTTTATCTTTTTCTTGATTTATTGATTTTTAATTTCATTTATAATCATTCTATTGCATTTGTTTTTTATCCCATTTTGGTCCTTTTTTATTATTATTTTCTTATTCTTTTTTATTTATCTTTTTTTAAAAATTCCATCCCTAAATTCCTTATTTTATTTAGTTTTTTAATCTAATTTGAGTCATTGTTTTTTTATTATTTTCTTATTTTTAATTTATTTTTTTGTTAGCATTTTTTTATGTAGCTTCGGTATTCTTTGGTAGGTTCTTCCTTTTAAATTCTAATTATTTTTATTTTAGTCTCATATTATAAATGACTGATTAGTTGAGTTAACTCGGACTGATTTAATTTTTTTAAAAAAATAATTTTTAAAAAATAATTTTTTTTGTACTTTCATTATTTGGCATTAGATTATTGGCTTTGAGCCTTGTTGTTTTTTTTTTTTTTTTCTCTATAAGGTTATTCCAAGTGCAAGTTTGTCAAGTTAACTAAAATTAGCTGAAGGTTTTTTATAGAACTTCGGTTTTTTTTGCTAGGTTTTTTTTTTAGAGTCTTTTTTTTTATTCTGATTTCATATCGCATATGGTTGGTGGGTCAAATTAACCTCTGTTGACTCAAGTTTTTTTCTTTAAGGCTATTTTTAAAAAAATTAATTTTTTTATTATTTGACATTATGCTATTAGATCTTAAATTTTATGATTTTTTTTTATGTGAATTTATATCAATTTCATATATCAAGTTAGATATTATTTAAGTTAATCTAAAATAACTCAAGTTATTATCACCAAAATATAATATTTTTTTATACTAGAAAAATTTTAACCCAGCTTATCTAGTTTTTAACTGCACTATTATTGAGTTTTTCATTTAAAGAAACCAAAATTAGGTAAAACATCAAAAGGTGCAGAGGATTCACGCTGAATGGTTGCAATGTTATGGATTCATGTTCATAATTTCTTTTCTACTATTTAGCCCTTATAGATCAATTTATTTTAATTTTTCATGAGAGGGTGAGATTAAAATATAGGGACCGAAGTGGAAAATTAGAGGAAATTGGTAGTTTTTTCATAACTTTGGAGAGAAGTACTCATTTTGCCATTAAAAAACAAAACCAAAAGACTTGATATTGGAGGGTAATTACAGTATCTTCACAACTATCATTGCCAAATTTAAAGGAGGTAATCATGTTTTTTTGGCTTTTATAATGCATAGTAAAACGATGATTCTACACCTCAATTCAAATTTCTTTAGAGCAAACATGCATGGACTTCTTCGTCTTTTTCATTTTTAAATAACAGTAAAATAACTTGCATGCACATAAAAGTAGATTTTTCTATTTGTTTATGCATTTATAATCTTTTTTTTTTTGTTATTGTTAGGTTGATTCAATAGCAACTCTGTAATTTAATATGTATAGATATTATTAAAACAAATTTACACGCATATGAATTACATGCATCAGTAAATACGAATATTTGATGGCCACACACAGACCAAACACAGCTTTTTTTGCTGGTGTTTGAATTATCTCATCATTATTTTCATAATAAATGGTGTGTATGGCCTACGATTATCAGGTTTGATGTTATAATTTTTATTTTTATTTTTTTTAATTTTTATATTTATCCATTTAAAATTTCAAAGCAACATTTCAATTTGTTATCCATTTGGATTTAATTCATGATCTTTTAATTATTATTTATTTTATTTTAAATAATTTATACAATTCAATTTTTTTCAATCTCACCTCCTATTTTTTTCATCTTTCAAATTTGATCCCTATTTTTTTTATTTGAAATAATTTTTAAAATTAATTTTATATATATGTAATTTCATTTTCCTTAGGGCTTTTTTATATCAAATTTGATACTTCATTCTTTTGATTGTTATTTTTTCTTATCTTGGTAATTTTTTTTAAATTGATCTCTTTTTTTGTTTCATCCCTCGATGTTAAATTTGTTTGTATTTGAGCTTTTTAATTGAGCCCGGATCTAATATTTTACAAGTTGCAAGTTTTAGAAATTAACACAAGTTTAGAAGGTTCGTCCAAGTTGTTTTTTTTTTTTTCTTTTTCTAAGTTCATGCCTTTTCAATTTCAAACTCTATCATTTATTCAATCAAAGATTAAGCTTTGTTATTTTTCTTTATTTTCTTTGTATATAAATTTTTACTAATTTTGAAATAACCTGGATTATCTCAATTGTTTTTATCTGTCATTCTTTATTGAATTTGCAATGGAAAATTTTTTAATTGATTGATTTCTAATTTTATTCTTTAATATTTGACTTGTTTTAAATTAAACACGACTAAGTACATGACTATTGTTATGAGATCAAATATATTAATCTTAATTATCTATTGATCAAATATCAATTTAATTTATTAGATGCAAATATAAGCATTTTGATTTATGACTAAAAACATTTATATCCAAAAACACATTGAAAAATCATAAATATTTATATTTTTACTGAAAAACTTATATGATACAAGGTGAAGCGTGGGTTAAATAACTAGTGTAAATCTCAAACATGCATTTGGTCCTACATGATAACTTAAGGAGTGTTGTTTTAGTGGTTCGAATTTTTTTTTGTAAAAAAATATTATTTTAATATATTTTTAATTTAAAAATTTAATAATAAATCATAAAAAACACACTTACTCCTTTAAAGCAATGTTGCTTTATTTTATCAACCTTTAATTTTAAGCAATCATTGAGCTTTTGATAAATTTTTTATATTTGTTATCACCATTACCTGAACTGAAATTTTATTTTTTTATTTCAAATTATATTATGTCACGTGAAATTTTTTTCTATATCTTGGAAACAGTTATATCTACATACTACGTTGCGGGTTGGAACAACTATATTCAAGCGTAAAAAAAAGCATGTTAGTGCAGGTGGGTTTATATATATATGATGGATGAAAAATATCAAATGTATATTGAAAGCTTGATCAGTGAGTTCAGTAAAATTAATTGATCATCAAATACATTTATAAACACTAAAAATAATTGTTAATGATGGACAAATATTGAACCGGGATTCCAAATGATGGGTGTGGATTAAAAAAATGATTTCATTACATCTCATGCTACTTATCATCTTTATTTAATTATGTATCAACATTTTATTTGAAAAAAATTAAATCAAAACAAAATAAATTATTAGATAGTTCATTTGCTTTTTATTTATCTAATCTTGCTTCGTGTTATGGTCCATTGCATGGCTCGGATTTCAACTTCAGCCATGTTGAAGGTGGTTAGCATGACTTATTGGACCAAGTAAATCTATATATAGCTTGGTCATTCCATTCAAAACCTAATATGGCTCTATAATTTTTTTTAATTCATTGTTATTTTGATTTTTGTCTCACTTGACCGACTTATATACAAAATAGTAAATTGTTAAATAAAAAATAATATCATACTGAATAAATCATGATTCACTCAAATAACTCATGATTCACCTGAGTTATCTGTTAAATTTATGGCTTATATAGTTGCACAACCACAATGTACTAACTTGAATTGGCCATCAATCCTTTTCAATTTCCTTTCTTTTTTTTATTTATTTTCTTGGTAGGGCCTTAACTTGGTCAGGGGAATAAATATAAAATTATAAAAATTTAAAAATCAAATAAAAAAAATAAAGAATTCAAGGTGTTTTTAATGGCACATGAATCATCTCGGCCAATTCTCCTTCCTAGGATGGCACATGCCGACGATGAGTATACGGTGATTGCCAATTTCTCCTCTCCATCTTCTCTTCAATTTCTCCTCTCCGTCTTGTCTTGTCTTGTCTTGTCTTTCTTTCCTTAATCTTTGTGTTATTAAGACTTGAAAAGGGGCATAAAAAATGGTTAAAAGCATTATCGCCGTCAACAGTAATTTGTTAGATAGATCACATTGCTGTAACCTTAAAAATTAGTTTTTCTTTTTATATAATTATAACGAGGAGCTCAAGTCATAATATTCTATTTTTAAAGATAACCCGGTGCTTTATCAATTCTGGCTAAAAAGTAATTACCACGATAAGAAATTCCAAATGGGGGAAGCACAGCAATGTCAAACACAAAAGCAGGACTATGTCGTAGCTCTTTGATGGGAGAGGATAAATTGTATTTGTGGTGGCATTTCGAGATCGTATTGATACAATGTCGGGTGCCATTCCTCCGTGGATACGGACAACTTGGACGTCAGATCAATAACATCCTGCCCTGCCTCGAGCGAGCAGGATTCGGGTTTTATTTTCCTTGCTAGCTAAGCGTGATTCTCCGGCGGAACTGCCTTATAGTGCTGAACATGGAACTTCCTTGTAGCAAGGCGGTAGTTACACTGTTTCAAGTCAATCGATTTCATTCCGTCTTGGTCTCTTTTAAAACTAAGAATTCGCATTTCTTTCCCCTTCTGTGCTACAGGCTCGCCTTCTTCTCTGTACGGAAACTTGCTTGACCGCGTAGACAGAAAGAGAAAGA